AATTATTAATGACAATAATAGTAAGTCTTTCCCTATCAGTCATTGTTTTAAATGTAAATGGATTAAGTTCTCTAATCAAAAGATATAAAGTGGCTGAATAAAAACGCTATCTGCACATAACTCACTTTAAATTTAAAGATACCCATACGTTAAAAGTGAAGAGATAGAAAAAGTTATTTCTTACAAATGGTAACCAAAAGACAGCAGAGGTGGCAATTCCAGGATACTAAATAGATTCTAAGTCAAAAATGGTCACAAGAGACAAAAAAAGGACCTTATATAATGATAAATGGGTCAATTCACCAGGAATATTTAACGAGTAAATATATATGTAACCAACATCAGAGCTTCCAAATATAGCGAGCAAATACTGATCACAGTGAAGAGAGAAATAAACAGCAATATAAGAATAGTAGGAAAGTAGAATACCTCACCTTCAGTAACGAATAAAACATCCAAAGAGAAGATCAATAAGGAAACAGAACTTGAATACTAGAGACCAGATGGACCTAACAGACATGTATAGAACATCTTACCCAACGGCAACAAAATGCATATTCTTCACAACTGCACATGGAACATTCTCTAGGACAGATCATATGTTAGGTAACAAAGTAAGTCTTAGTAAATATAAGATTAAAATTAATACAAGGTATCGTTTGCAACCACAACAGAATGAAACTAAAATTCAACATCAGAAAGAAAACCAGAAAATTTACAAAAATATGAAAATTAACATGCTTTTGAACAACAAATGAATGAGTCAAAAAAGAAATCAAAAGTTATAAAACTATCTTGAGACCAGTGGGGAAAAAAACCCCTCTACATACCAAAAGTAAGAGAGACACCAAAAGCAGTACAAAGAGGAAAGTTTATAGTGGTAAATACCAACATTAAAAAAGCAAGTTCTCAAGTAATCCAGTTCTACACTTCATGGAACTAGAAAAACAACAAAGTAAACTCAAAGTTAGCGGAAGGAAAACAACAATAAAGATTTGTACAGAAATAAAATAGGGAACAGAAAAACAATTGAAAAAACAATAAAACTAAGAGTTGGGTTTTTTTTTAAAGATCAACAGAATTGACAAGTCTTTACCTAGGTTGGTTAAGAAAAAAGAGAGAAATGAAAGAGGAGACACTGATGCCACTGAAATAATAAAAGACTACTCTGAAAAATTACATGACAATAAATTGGATAAAGAAATGGACAAATTCCTAGTAATATACAACCTACCAAGACTGAATAATGAAGAAACAAAATCTGAACTGACTAGTAAGGAGACTGAATCAGTAACAAATTCTCCCATCAAAGAAAAGCTAAGGACCTAAATGGCCTCAATGCCAATTCTACAAAACATTTTTATTAATTTTATTTTTTACTTTATTTTTATTTCTTTGTTTAATTTATTTATGAAACACTGTCTTGCTCTGTCACCCAGGCTAGGGTATAGTGGTGTGATCATAGCTCACCATATCCTGAAACTCCTGGACTCAAGC